CCTTTGAATCCCGTTTGTGACGTGCGTCTGTGCGCGATTGACCGCAATGCTGACCATTCTAGAGCTTGATTCATCGCAAATCATATGACTCTGAAATTTATTCAACGTTTCAACTGTTTTCACAATATTACTCAGTATTTAGTTTTCATTAGACTGTTTTGCTATTCTTTTCCAAAAATTCTTGGATAATATTTTCAATCAAAATGTTTAATAGGCAGATATTTTCAACTGATTCTCAGTCTATATCAGATCGGCTGTTTTAAATAGACATAATTTTGAATTTTGTTAATTTTTTAGCTTGCGTTGTTACATATATTCTAGTTTCCATTTTAATTGTCCATAATTGAACTTTTAACGCACGTGCATTCAGAAACTGAGCGAGAAAACCACTGCTTGGAAAACGAATTAAAATGTTCAAATTTCATCATCTTTTAATCAGACATGCGTATTCCGAGCACGGTTTTTACTGCTCAGTTTATGAGTCGGCGTCAAATTTCGTTTGAATAATTTCGAATTGTTTAAATATGAGAAAAACTGGTCTAGCTCTCTATAATCCAAATAATCCTATCGTGAAAACAAATTTCAATTCAAATGTGAAATTCATAGTCAGATGATTTGCGGTGAATCAAGCTGTAGAATTTGCGGTCACTTGCAGGCAGACGTCACGAACCGGATTCAAAGGTGCAAATTCACGGACTCCGCCTGTGAATCACGCGAAATTTCCCTGGGGTGCCCGAAACTCATTCCACTCACGTGAGCACCGAAACTCAATTTTTTTTGCCTCTTTTTCACGCGCGTTGCACTTTCTGCATTTCGTTTGTCTCAGATCGTGACTCACCTGCAGTCTTTTTCCGAGAATCCGGTCTTCCGCATTTGTACGGCAAATGTATAGTAAGTGACTAGGTACCCATAACAACGCATATAACGACCTGTGCAAACCAATCAGCTTTTCCTATATTGACCAGCACAATTGAGACATGATCTCCAAAACGCACTGAGGTCGTCCCTGTGTAATCTCCAGATTAAAGCAATCGATTTGGCCGTTAATGCGGACCTCACGAGCTACAGGACCGCAAATGATCGCATCATTTCGTGCTTCGTGTGGTGTTATTACAACGAAATGTGGCCTGTTAATCCTTGAATGCCGCCCAATCATTATAAATTTCATTCAAGCTTGCAGGTCATTTGTTACACAAAAAAAGTGTGCTAAAATATATCAGCATAAAAAAGTGCTTAATAGATTTTGGAATCAATGATTGTGGAAAGATAATAATATTGATTAAAATAGAAATAAAATTATTTACAATAATAACTAATTTATGAAACTAATTTTGATATTTTTAGAAAATAAATTTTAAAAAACCAATTTATATAATTTTGATAAATAGTCCAACAAATATTTCGTACAACCAAATTAAAAAATTTTAATTGCAAGAATTATTATCAAGTTTTCTTTAAAACATTCCATCAAATTAAAATTTTTAAAGTATTTTAAATTAAAAATTTGCAGAAATTATAGTCTCAGAGCAATAATTTGTTAGAGAGGAATGGCAATAACCTTGTAATATTTCCAACCAATTTGGCTTATCAACATTTTTTCAAAATAAACAGGGCGTTCGCCTTGTATTTTGATATACTGCCGAGCAATTTAGAAACGGGTTATTATCGTTGGCGAGGGTCAGTTGGGGCTTATCAAGTGAGAAGAATCGCAGTCGTGGCTAATGTCAAGTCATCAAGTGACCCACAATCAGTCTAGAGTGAGAATCATGGGCGTGCCACCGAGCACGTACAGTTCGCTAAATTCGAACCACACGCTTATTTGCACAGCGTGAAAGAAAAGTGTTTGCGTTTCTTTCCGTCATACGTGCACTTTTCCCCGCTCGAGCATATTCACAGAATCGCTCTATTTCTGCGCGGCGGCCTCACCGCGCTTTGTTTGATTTTGAGACGCGCCAATAGTTGTGTACAATGGGATTTTTCGATAAGAGGAAGGAGGATGACTATTGTCTCCACAAGCGTCTCTTGCAATTTCACTAACTAAGAGGAAATTCAAGTTTCCTTGATAATTGTGCTGTTTATTGTTAATTTGGAAGCCTTGGGCCAAATTTCTGCGTTTGAAATAGATTATAATAAATTATTATTCACGTTTTAAATTAAAAATAATTGATAGAATTATTGAAGGGAATATCAAATAAATTTATTTGTTAATTTGTATGCCTAGGGCTAAATTTAGTTTCTGCAAAGTTTTGTTATTGAAATAAAGTTAAAAAATATTAAAATCAAAATAATATATTTTGTTTTAAGAAATCATAATTAACATATCAATCAAAACATTTCACAGAAATAATAAAGAGAATTGAAATAATATAAAATAACTAGAACTGGACCAATCATTTGTTGTTCCCAGCCCACGTTTGTCGTTTGTTCTGAATGTTACATTCTTGGAAAAAAGTAGTATCATATTTATGCGTGGGTTTTTGTTCGCTGCAACTAAATTGCATTATTTGCAATGCATAACGAGCAATTATTATTATTCGCAAAGGTTGAACCTTTCCTTAATGAAGCGGTGCGAAAAGTTCCACGTGGGCGTGTGTGTGCCACGATTACAATGCGAGAGGAAATGTAGACCCTACGCAAATATCTCAATCGCTTTTCCGTATTTGCACTTCGCACCTGATGATCGTCAGGCGTGTTGTAACAAATTTATAAAGACTATTCGCTTTTGCTTTCTTCGTACTCGTTTATGTATTGTTTGGAGGCAAGTTTGCTGGCGAGTTGCGCGCGCACCGTGTTTCTAAAAAGGCAAGGGCACTCGGCGCTCTCACAAATACACCAGACGGCAGCGGCGTTTCAGTCCAGTGCAGTTCGACTTCTGCTCTTGTCCACACACACACTCCGTGTTCTGTTCAAGTGATTATTGTTATTTTTTGCAACAATCGAGACACGACCGCAGTGCCCATAGTGACTTTCGGTGGCTCCATAATGCCATTCAGGAGCGACACCATCAGCGACCTGACCTGGTTCAGTGTCCTCGTAGACATGACTGTGGTAATTTTTTTCTTAATATTCCTTCTTTTATGTAATTCCATTCAAAACATCAACACTGGTGACTAATTTAGAGGAAATATAAATACATGTACGGTATTATCTTGTGTAATTATTATCAATAGCGGAATCGGAGCATGTTTTTTTTTCTTCACTGAGAGCGGCAGATAACCTATTATATTGAATCGCCGCCGCTAATGTGGTGCGGTTGATAGATAATTCATTGCAAGCATTTCACCGGTGCGCGCCATTCATTCTCGCGGTGTATTATTGATAAAGGCTTTCAAGGGTATTATTACTACATTGGAATGCCATTTGAAAACAGGTCAAAATGTGGGGCATGATAATTTTTATAACCCGACCAAAGTCAATTACGCACAGTAAATTGTGTTCAATAAAAATAGAAAATGTTAAAACCAACTTTTTTCATTTATCGCTTGTCAATATATTTATATTTTAATATTTAACTCAAAGTCGGTGCAAAACATTGTTTTAAAAATAACATTTTTTATTTTTGAGATAAAATGTGTCTTTTTGCCACGACATAAATTTTTTCACGGAAGTTTAGTTTGCCGTTTTATTTTACATTTATAGATCTGTAGCTTTTTCTTACAACCTGGAAAATTTTAATGTTTCGGGCTTCATTTGATTGCAAAAATTATATATTTGAAAAAATCACTTTGTTTGCTTTTTTCTCTAGCTTAATTATTATTATTATTATTATTATTATTATTATATTGTTGATGTTTATTCGTCCACATTGTTAAGATTTAATAAATTTTTTACATTCAATATTGAAAACAATTTATTTTTAAATAAGGAATTGTTGGACAAGACAGCAATTCGAAGGCTGGGATGATCTAAGAAATTTCTGGTAGTTATTTTAATTTAAAATAAATTGCACAAACTTGAAATTTACTTTTAGTTTTAATTTAATTATTAAAATTATAATGAAAGAATCTGTAAATTGAGGATATTAAATCTAAAGGTTCATAAAAATGTATTGTTATCAATAATTTAAAGCACACTCAATCCTCCTCAATTTTTATCACATAATGAAACAAATTTCAAAGGAAAATTATATATAGCAGGTTTTACATGTTTATAATTACAATAAAATCATTTTTAGGTTATGATGCACTAAACTTATCTCTGGTGACATTATTTTGCAGAATTATTTGACGCATTTTAAGCCATTTCTTTTATTCTTCCTCACTTTTTTTGTCAATATAATAATAAGAAAGCAATCTTTGAGACAGATTGATTTGCTGGTTTACGTTGAAATCGCGAATTTTTATGCTTTGGGTCAAAGAACTGCGACTCGGTTTTTTTTCCACCTGCGTCACACGCCAATTCAATTCGCGCTCGGCGTGACACGATTCGGCGGATTAATCGTGGTGGCGCCGGTGGGCGTGAATGCTTCCTCAAATATCCAAAGTAATTCCTCTCGCCTCAAGCAGACACACACCTGACACTTGAACACTAATATTTTCATCACACATCGCGGATGTTTCTCTTGCCCGTCGTTCTCTCAACACAGAGCGAATCGCTTCTCTGAACTCGGACTGACGCAGGCTGAGGAACTGCGCCGTTTCCAGACTTTCCTTTTTTCTTCTCCAAATTGTTTATGGGGTGCAGAATTGATATTTTTCGTTTCTAGAGCGGCCAAAACAGAGATTGTTAAAGGTCATGGGTGCAAAAACAAAAAGCGCTTCGGTCGTGCGGGAATATGATTTTTTCCGCGTTGGCTCGGTGCCGGTTATTAATTAGCCGCACCCGAAATAGCCGCCAAAGGCACCCAGAAATAATTATAATAAAAATTCCGCACGTGGAATTCAAAGAAGGGACACGTGAACAGGCGAATTGGCGGTTGGCAGTAAGCAAAGGGTTCATTTTCGTCTCTTCACTTGGAAATTAAACTTCGTCTCTGACCAAAATGCTCTTGTCTGTTGCAGTTCAAGCGGATGCTCAACAAAGAACTGAGCCACTTCTCCGAGTCCAGCAAGTCAGGAAACCAAATATCTGAGTACATCTGTTCCACATTCTTAGGTGAGTACATTATTTTCCCCTAAATTTAATTCCCAAGTAAATTTGAACTGTCAAGGCTGCGATTTACGTTTCAAAAAGATTTTTTAAACAATAAAATTAAAAATATGAGGTTCATTTTTTTAAAATATTCTTTCCGCCAAATGAATTAGATTCCGGAGAGAAGTTAGATATAATTTGTTTTAGGTTTGGTTAAAACATTAATATTTTAAATTAAAGGCTAGGATTGAGTTTTATGTAATTTAATTATGAGCACTTGATATTTTATTTTAATAATTTTTTATTTATAATATGTTATAAATAAAATTTTTAATCATATTATTTATTAATTTTAATTTAATAATACTTTGGTGGGAAATTATGATTAGCTTGTTTTCAACTGGGTCAATTTTTTATAATTATTATCCATAGCAACATTGACTTTCACATTTATTCAGGAAAAAATAAAATAATTTTGATGTGCTCCTTGTTTAAAACTACACTGATCCAGATTATACAAAACAGTTATGCTCTCCCACTACGTTTCATTGTGTTGATACAAAATTAATTATTGGTCAGGCAACCAAGGAAGTTGGAATCGTGATTGAACACCGCGTGTCGTGCATTCAAACGAGAGACAATCGAGTCTCAGGTGCGCCTTTGCACATTTGCAATTCCACCCTTGACCCTGGCCACAAGTTGACAAAGTCCATTAAACCAGCTTTCTTTGCTTATGTGTAATTCCATTATCATCCACGCGTGCGGCCTTATTAACTTAGTAAAATTTCAAAATTTCTTTTCCCAAACAATTGCCAAGACCTTCTTTGGAGGTGCAAATTTCGATTTGCGCCGTTTCGGCCTCGGTGCCTTCGATCTGTTTAATTGCACCGAGTTTTCAAGGTCGTGGCTGGAGATTAATTAAATTTCTCTGCAGATCAAAGGGTCGGCCGGACGCGCGGCGGCGGCGGCACCTCAAGGATGAAGCCGCGTGCGACCCATTGTTGACAGTCGCGAACCCCGCGGCCGCGTGTTAATTAGTCTCGGAACAAGGTGCCTTGGCATTGAACTTGAGAGAGAAGCAACGGGTTCGCGAATTGATTTGTTTGCTTTCCAACTAACAGTACCTAAGGGGAGGAAAGAAATAAATGCGTCTTATAGGAGCAAACAAACTCACGTTGGAAATTTAATCAGGCATTCTTCGAATTCTCATTTCAATTGTTGAAAATTAGTGTCATGTAAACACATTACAGAAATTAAGTCTTTTTTTTTACACGCGACCTGTTGCTCGTGACGGAAAACATCAGCATATCTAGTTTTCCTGGTTTTCCTAATTGAGGGTTTTTCTCTTTTATCTCAAGGTTGTGCGTTATCAAAATAACCCCGCTTTCCCGGAAAACGCCCAAAAATATACATTTCTTGCCTATTCAAGAAAAGTAGGCCCGACTCTCCACGTGATGTCGTCACTTTTATCTGTGGAAAACCGAATGACTAAAAACGTGCGTTCGAAAAGTGATAAGAATAGAAGTTGAGCGCACGTACCGAGGTGTATGCATAAAAATAATAATAACGTTGCCGGCGCCGCGCATCGTCAACATGACCATTAGTTTTCTTGACGAGGAGTGATGGACGTGAAATGGAAATTAAGCTACCGCGCGATGATGAAAACGAAACGTGTGTTGGCTTCTGCGCTGACTGGCACATTCGATTAAATTCCCTGCTCCCTGCAAAAAGCGCCGCAAATGAGATTTGTGCAATAACTGTAACGTTTTCACTCTGGAACAAAACGCATTTTACTCCGTTTCCTGTTGACCAGTCACGCTGCATGTGGCAATGGTCCAGACTGCTCGTCTTTCGCGACCTGAATTTCATAAAGGCAACAATAATCACGAGCAGCTTGAAATAGCTTTGAGAATTTTTCAAATTATTTATTTTCTCTTTTTGACGAATGAGATTTCCGAACCAGTTTCTATGCGGCTCTTTCCAAACAAACGGAATTTATGTATTTAAATAAGTTTGACACACTTTCGACCTTTGTGTGCAGTTTTATTTGTTTTCCGTCCCCCAACATATGCAACCCGCCACGCTAGGTCAACATCAATGCTATTTGACAGGTTAAAGAGCGCGACCATTGTTGTCGGCGCCAGGCTGATCGGGATGCGCTACAGACACGTGATCTCAGTTAATTAATTCAATCGTCAATTTTGATCTCGTGCAGATCGGCACAGCCTTAAACGTAACAACTGCGTCGTAGTAATTTTTTGTATTGATTCCAATTAAAGTGGATGAACGCGAGCGATCATTATGAAGTCAAAATTTCTTATTATTTTATCCATTTGTAATAATAATATATTAAAATGTTTAAAAAAAAATGATATCCTTTTAAAGTTTAAAAACTAAAGACAGACGTTTCCAATGGTTGTCCCTTTAAATGCAAACTCTATTTAATGGAATTGATTTTTGATCAATATCGTGTTGAACATCAACTTCAATTAAAGGCTGACTTTATTACAAATGTTATCGCTTGACATTCGGCGCGAACTTTGACCGGTGCGCGATAAAAGAAAGAGTTGATGGCCCCGCGACCTCGATCGAAATCAAACCAGATTTTTTTGCCAAAGCGGAGGAGTTTGTCGTTATTCCCCTGACAACTCGCTTCCCTTGAACTATTGTAGAAAGAAAAATGAATAAGAAAAATGCATTTCAGTCGTCGCCGCGTGTTGGATGTTGAGCAATGATTTCTTGTGTGTGTGTTGGAGGAAAGGAAGTGCACGTCGCACACAATGAAACAATAATAGAGCCGAGTCATGCTTCTCTCTCCAGATTAAACATTACACGACCGAACGTATTACGCGTACTTCAAGCCGCGTGTGTGACACTTGTCAAAGTTGTCGCGGCGGTTTGTCTTGCATGAGGTCGCGGCTGACGTTGGCGCCGCAAGGTTCGGTGAAAAATAAAAACATTCATCTCTTCGTTGATTAATGAAAAATTTTATTAAAAAAAAATGAATCAAAACGAATTTGTGCAAGTTCAAGAGTCGACAAACCATTTAGTTGTTTTTCCAGGCAGAGGATATCAGTTCCGCGAGCAACCTGCAAAGCAGCTTATCGCGCAAGGTTGCCCTCCGCGTCGGTAATTGCCGTTTGCAACCTTTCGTATCAATTCATCATCAGTGGCACAATTATGTTTTTATTACAATCTCCTCCCTGCGCGAAGGGCATTTGTGTGTCTGTCTTTGCAATGCACGCGAACAGATATTATCGCATGCAAATTTTTTCAAAATCTCGTTTCGGCGCCAAATATCGCCGACGGCGCGCGTTTCCGCCCGCCAAAATCGGCGCTCATTATCTCTCTTGTTTCTTCCTGAAAACACGCTCGTAAATTAATAATGGTGGAAATAAAAAGGTCCCGCGATTACGAGCGATCAATACGCGAACAAAACACGACCAGTTTGTCCCGAGGCGCCGAGAGAGATGCTGATCTCCGCAGCCAGTGGTTATAATTGACCTCTCGCGTCGTAATGGGCCGCGGCCGTTTATCATCAACATTCGGTGTTTGACCCTGGCTGAGACTTTTAATTTGGGTTTCTCGTGAAAATTTATTTGTTATTTTTCGCAAAGGAATCAATTTTAATTTAAACGTTTATTTTGACAATCAATTAAAAAAATCCCTATTAATTATGGGGAGTGATTGAAAAAAGTATAAAGAGAAAAATTTCATCTTAACAATTACCGGATTTTTAATTAAAATAATTACACTCCTGTCTATTGAGCGCAAATTATTTTCACTCTCAATATCGACCCTGGAGTTTGAATAATGTTTTCAAGTGCATATGGGCGTGGAGCTAGGCAGAGTGGCGGAAAACCCGATTGAATAGAAAATAGAGCGACCCATTGAGCACCGTGTTCGCCGAGCGTGATTCCTGCGTGTCGCCGCGTGTGCAATTTGGGTCAGTCAGACAGACCATCGCGCTTCAGACTTAATCAGAGCTAGGTCCGTCCCTAAGCGCGAGGTCTCTCATCCCCAGGTGGATCGCGAGCAAGGTGACCCATTTCATTTGCAACCTTCCGCGGCAATTGCGCGGGATGACGTAGACGCGAATCGCGCGCGGCGCGTGCATCTTTCAATTCTGAGTCAGGTGCGTCAGTCCTGTCACGCGCGCATACCCTTAAAGTACTTTGTGTCAACCACGCTGCTGATTATATATACCTGAAAGCTTAGACGAGGAAAATAAAACGTGACACGCCGGCGAGTACTTTAAAAGCCTATTTACGCAAAAGCGACGAGTTAGTTGAACCTGCAACTTGATATACACGCGCCGAAAAGCAGCTCTCATTGTTGCAACAATACCCAACAATATGAAATTGCCGGTGCATTATTCGGCCGAAATGTTTCGCTTTCAGAGCAAACACAAAATCAAATTCCGGTTGAAAGGTGAGCCGCCCTGAGTAATTTTTTTTTTTAATTTTCTTTTTGGCCTCGGGCGGAACGAAAAGTATCGCGCAGCCTTGACCGGCGAATCCTCTCTCTCTCTCTCTCTCTTTCCTCCTATCTTGCTTGGCCCAATTTCAGTGAATGATGTGTTTTTTTGTGTGTGATTGCAGACAAGCAGCAGGAGCTTGACATTCCGTCCCTGCGAATCGAGGAATCGGCGAACGCGCCCGACGGCAGGAGCTCCGGGGCGCCGGGCGGGCCCGCGTCGGCCGCCGGCAAGAAGAAGGAGCGCGGCCGCCATGGCTCGGGCACCATGTCGCACATCCAGGGGGTCAAGCGACCTCTGTGTCACACCAACAGCTTCACTGGAGAGAAGTTGCCCACCCACGGCGTCGAAACACCGCACGAGGAGGAGCTCGGAAAGGTGCGAAAAATCAGCAAAAATTTTTTATTTTATTTTAACGTATTGAAAATTTGCAGATGCTGGCGGACATCGACAAGTGGGGCATTGACATCTTCAGAATTGGAGACTTTTCTTGTAATCGTCCCTTGACTGCAGTTACCTACACTATTTTCCAAGTGAGTTTTCGCTAAATATTTTTTTAAATTATGCATAATTATATTTATTGGAATCGATTTGTCCTAATTTAAAATTTCACTCCCTCAGGAGCGAGACCTTCTAAAGACGTTCATGATCCCCTCCAAGACCTTGGTCACTTTGATGATGACCTTGGAAGACCACTACCTTAAGGATGTCCCTTACCACAACTCTCTTCACGCGGCAGACGTCACCCAGTCAACAAATGTTCTGCTCAATTCGCCAGCACTAGAGGTGCGGTTTCCCCTAAATTTTTTTTTTAATTGTTTTTACAAAAATTTAAATTTTTCAGTCTGTCTTCACCCCGTTGGAAATTGTGGCCGCGATTTTCGCAGCAACAATCCACGATGTCGATCATCCTGGACTGACCAACCAGTTCCTCATAAATTCAAGTGAGTTGGATCAATACACTTGTTTTGCCTTGTCAAGTGTAAATCTAACCTGCTTTTGATTGAACAGGTTCAGAGCTCGCTCTCATGTACAATGACGAGTCAGTATTAGAAAACCATCATTTGGCGGTGGCCTTTAAGTTGTTACAAAACGAGGACTGCGATATTTTTGTCAATCTCGGGAAGAAGCAGAGACAAACCCTCAGAAAGATGGTCATTGACATGGTACGATTTTGATTCATTTTTTATATTTAAAATAAAATTAAATCAATTTATATTTTAATATCAGGTGTTGGCCACTGACATGTCAAAACACATGAGTCTGCTGGCTGACCTGAAGACCATGGTGGAGACGAAGAAGGTCGCCGGCTCAGGCGTCCTCCTGCTGGACAACTACACAGACAGAATCCAGGTGTTGCAGAACCTAGTGCACTGCGCCGACCTGAGCAACCCCACAAAACCTCTGGCCCTCTACAGAAAGTGGGTCGATAGAATTATGGAGGAGTTTTTCGTCCAGGGTGATAAGGAGCGAGAACAAAACATGGACATCAGTCCAATGTGTGATAGGCATTCAGCAACAATAGAGAAGTCACAGGTAATGAAATAAATCATTTCAAATGATAAAACAAGGAAAAACTTTATATAGGAAAAAGTCTAATTTGTCGAATATTAAAAAATTTGTAATTTGATTCAAAATGAATATTATTTATATAATTAAGAACTATTTAAATTTTTTTATCATTACTTTCATCGCTTCAGTCTTCAGTTAAATGAATTCTCCTCAATGGATCCCACTTTTTTCACTGAAAATTTTTAAATAATTATCATTTATAATAATAAATTCTAATTTTTCAGGTTGGCTTCATCGACTACATTGTGCACCCGTTGTGGGAAACGTGGGCCGACCTGGTCCACCCAGACGCACAAGACATCCTGGACAACCTGGAGGAGAACAGGGACTGGTACCAAGGGATGATTCCTCCGAGTCCGCCGGCGGTGACGGAAGACGAAGCTGCTGGCGGCTCATCTGGGGAGGGAGGCATCCGGTTCCATGTGACCCTGGAGGAGAACGACGCGCCCGAGGAAGAGGAGGGCGGCGAAGAGGCCGAAGAAGAGGAAGCAGGTGCCTCCGAGGATGGAATGTGACGGAGATTGGTTGGATTCTGCAGGAAACTGCACGAGAAAATGCAGCAGTGGTGGTTTCGGAGCAAATGATGCATAAGAATATCTTTTTATTGTGAGAGAAAAAGAGAAGAATTAATATTTGTATAACTGAGAGGAGGAATAAGACACACAGCAACCATTTCATGATGACATATTTATTTTTACACTCTATCTTGCGCAGATTTTTGAACACGATTATTTCAAATGAAAGATGCACTGGAAAAGTTTCTTTCAACGTATTCGGCATAGTTGCTGGAGTCCGAAGTTGCTCCTCCCAATTTCATTCATTTGCTCTCTATTTTTCAATATGCCACTCGTTTGTACGCTGTTGCTAGTTCTTTTGTTGTCATTCATCATTAACACAAAGTGTTTTATATTTTTGAAAAAGAAAAATACTTTCATCCGCGCGGCCCCGAAGAGTTTTGTTCTCCTCTTTCTTACAAGCAGGCCTTGTAATATCATATCTCATACAAAGTGTAGTGGTTATAAAATTATTTTAATTTCACGGATTTCCTTTGTCAAGAGAGATAATCCAGCAATACCAAAGAATGAATTACACAAAAATTAACGTTAATTGCACCCCCGCAGACGAGTTGACTCTGTCCAGCCTTAAGTTGATCGATGGCGCGGCGCCGCCGCACCCCCCGATGCAGGACATTGGGTGGTGCGGCCGGCGTGTCCGAGAGTGAGGCTAAAATATTTATAAGTTGAGATGCACACACACAAAACAAAAACACTCGAAACCCAAATCCTGGTGTGTTTGTGAGCAAAAAAATGAACTGCGCTTGCTTCTTTGTTGTTATTATTATTTCGGAGAGGTGAAAAGTTAAATACACACACATACATTTAAAAGTAATTTAGACGAAAAATGCTGCTGCGATGATATTTAATTAATGAGTGTGGAATGTTTACCATAACAAAAACAGAAATAAAAAAAACTTACTGTACGTATTTGATGCGGATGTGTATAAAATTGAAAATACTAAATTAACACAGATGTGTACTATTTAGAGCTCATTTTAGTGAACAAGGAAATCTATAGCGAGTGATATTTTAGTATTTAGCCACTTATGTTGGACGTTCTCATGTATTTTAATTTTGAAAAAGAATATGATAAGCTGGAGTTGTAACAAAAATATTATACGTCTTTTCGATGCTGGTCATTGGAAGATTGATTATTATGCAACAAGTGGACTAAAAGTGGAAAAATCTTGAGTTCAATTTGAAGCATTGCTACTTTGTGGTACAAGCAGGGTCTTTACAAATACACATGCACTCTTTTTGCGTTTTACCTTTTTAAATCAGACCGATTTTGTTTTAATAAACATAATATTTAATGACATTTTATCGCACAATTGAACGCAAAATTTTACTTTCTGCATGCGCCTGTTTAGTTACGTACAAAAACAAAAATGTAATTCAGAATTTGTGAAGACACACAAAATAATTATATACGATTATCCTTTCGGTTCATTAATAAACACGTATATATGTGATTAAATTCAGACTTTGGCTGACTTTCAGATTAATTGGTAAAACTCCATATCAAACAGGTCAGCGAAAAAAGAATCATTGTGGCAGTGTCAGTTTTACACACAAAAAATTAAAGCGCTCGTTAGCAACTTTAGGACCTACCCTAACATTATGCATAAATTCTTACCTAGGACTTAGTTTCGGTGATTTGAATTGATGGACTGAAGCAAAAATTGAAAATATTGTAAAAAAAAAAAAAACATGCAAATTAAGCTTTCTCTCGATTTAACCTTTGATCGTTTTTGCGCGCGCGGTAACCAGTATTATAATTAAATTAACAAATTATTTTGCAAACAGAGAATACATACTGATGGTGTAATATGTGTGTTGAAAATATTCGCTGGTCAGGGCCATATTGAATTGAAGAATATATAAGCAGAAAATAAATGAATAAAAAAACAGTAACTGTTCCACTATAGAAGCGTATTTTTCAAACCTCTCTCGGTGTACAGAAAGAAAAGTAGTTGATGATTATTATATTATATATTTAAAGATGGATTATTTATGAAATTTACAGGCAGTATGACGAAAACACACATTTGCACGCACAGGAATAAACAAACAAAAAATAGCAAATGTCGTTGATTAATTTTGTTGATGTTGTCGCCAGCAGTGTGTTACATTATGTCTGTTTTCTGCGCGCGAAAAGATCACAGATCCGCCGGCAGACCCACACCACCTCTCAAAATGAGATGCACCCTGTGTATAATAATTATATTTGCTGATTGTGTTGGTGATAGAGCTCGCGGACATTATTTTTACTATGCATTGCGAGACGAGATGCGCGGAAAAGAAAGAATCAAAACCACTAAAAAGCCACCAATAATATCCTGTTGAATAATCTTTGGTATTTCAATGTTTGTGTAAGTGTAAGCAGGTGTATAATTAAACGAGAAAAAACAGACAAACAAACAAACACACACACAGCAGAAGTATATAAAAACTATACGTGTATGTTGGATTCAGTTGCGTAACGCGAATATGGTGGTGATAATAATTAAGGTATATTAAAAGATGAGAGAGAATAATTAACACATTTGTTGTTGCAGTTGTTATACGATTTCAATTCGTTTTGTATCCAAACTGAAAGCAGCCTCTCGCCTCTGCCGCAAAATTCATAACACAATGTTGCGGCAATTAAGCGAGTAGTTCCTGTCTACGTTCATTTACGAGACAAATACCACAATTTTAAATCTGTGTCTTTTTCTATCGATTGTGTTTCGAAACTCGTTCTAGAGACCGTCTTTTAGTTTTACGTTATTGACTTTACATATATTGTGAACTCCTCCTCCGTCACCAAATTTATTTATTGGATTTATTTCTTGTGGACTTTCGAAAACATCAAAATATGTTTGTGTGCTCACCAGGAAATAAAAATTTAAAGTTTCCTAAACCAGCCTTGTTTTATTTGCCAATAATTAATTAAGTGTTTCCTAAAGAAAGAAAAAGAAGTAGTGCCGCGCATATATGTCCCGCCAAAGGTCAAATATATTTTTATTCAAAATCAAATGATTTAGTCACTTCGATTTTATTTTGAATCAAAATTATTGAAAAAACTTACGTCTTTAAATGTAAGTAAATAAATCATCATTTTAGATAACGTAGAACTTTTATGGAAAATTTCATGAAATCCACCTCGAGTGTTACCATTCAATTTTATGGAAAAAGTTTAATGATTTGACCCTTATGATTATGGAAAAGATAAAATGAGAATGCGCATCTTTATCAGTTTTAGCTTTATAAATAAAATATTACTCAATCTTAATTTACTAAGAGTAATAAATAAAAAATTTATGATTATTTCCTCGATCTAGAGCAAAAAAAGAAGACAATAAAATAAGCACCTCTTGCCCAATCTCCAGAATGTATCTTTTGAAAACGGAATACTTTCGCTTTGAGAGAATTGCATGCCAACATTCATTACTGCGATCTAGAAATTATTTATTGTAAATTTATTATTAAAATATTTGCTCTGGAAAATTGAAATAATTATTCATAAAATAATACCATTTAGAATTTAAATAAGTTATTAGTTTTGGTTTAATTGCATTTTCCTTTCAATTATTATACATCTCAAACTAGAAGCATTTACATGCTCTATTTACACAAAATCTTGAATTCCAAGATTTCATGCTTCACTAGAAAAAATCTATCATAACGCGGAATTTCACGTGGTTGCCTAGTACTTTGGCAGTCAATTTTGGCTCAAATGGAGATAGATTAAATTTAGGAAGCGTCACTTTTGAGCTGAAATAACGCTTTAAAAAATTGAGGAAATAAAATTTAAAAACATTTCTTCTATCTGCAGTGTATTTTTATTAAAATGAATTAGATTTTGCAAGGGGCCCCTCACTGTAAGATCATTAGTGAGAAAAACGGATAATTTACATAATATTATAACTATTAAAATGTTGCAAAAACATTGTATAGACATTGTGGACCTATCCATAAAGGAGCTGGCGGAGCTGGCCACAAAGCTTTTCTTATGGACCCGCTTCCGCCAGCTAGCGCTTTAGCGGTGTTATGGAAACAATGAATTTAATCTTCAAACATATTTTTGACACTGTGCCACAGCCGGCGCTTCACATTTTTTTGTAGTCGCGCTGAAATGCGTTCCGTATGGAAGACAAGGAATGATGGATGGCACCCCTTCTACGCATTGAACATACTGAGCGCAATTAGTGTAAGGCAAATTAACAGTCCCGGTTGTTGGGCACAGTGGCTGAGTGGTCGTAATTATCTCAGTAGTCGTTACTTCAGTCGGAGGAGCGCCAGTAGTGGGTATAGTCGTGGGTACTTCCGTCGAAGGAGCGCCAGTGGTGGGTATGGTCGTGGTCTCCGTTGTAGGAGCGCCAGTAGAGCTTGTGGTTGTGGTTACTTCCGTTGTAGGAGCGCCAGTAGTGCTTGTGGTTGTGGTTACTTCCGTTGTAGGAGTGCCAGTGGTGGGTATGATCGTGGTTTCCGTTGAAGAAGCGCCAGTGGTGCTTGTGGGTACTTCCGTTGAAGGAGAGCCAGTGGTGCTTGTGGTTGCTTCAGTAGTCGAAGAAGCGCCAGTAGTGGTCGTGGTTGCTTCCGTTGGAGTAGTGGTGGTTATAGTTGTTGGCGTTGTTGTCGTTAAACACGGAACAGGCGTTGTTGTCGTTAAGCACGGAGCAGGTGTTGTTGTCGTTAAGCACGGAGGAGGCGTTGTCGTGGTTGTAGTTGTTGTCAAACAGTCACCTCCTCCACCACCCCCTCCACCACCACCTCCGCCAGTTCCACCTGAGCCTCCCTCACCGCCTAAAAATACCAAAAAGTTATAATGTTTGAAGTATTTCATATTATGCTGCAATATTAACAAGAACCATTTTAGAATTTTATGTATGGGTGTAATGCGACCTATCATATTATACTGTATATCATTAGCCAAAGAGCTTGTGACATATTTGCCGAAATTATTGAAATATGCGAAAAGGTAATCAAGGTAATTTCAATTTGAATTATCATATTTTTAAAAGCATTTTTCAAAAGTTACGATAATATTATAAAACACGAAACACGAGGCATTTTTATTCAACAGAATACATTCCCGAATTTAAATTAAAATTTAATATCACTCTTCATTGAATCATTTCCTACCTGAGCATCCGCCTCCAGCGCCTCCAGCGCCGCCTCGAAGCTCAGCTTCTTCCACGCATGAAACACAGCCAACGTTTTCAGCGTAGTCACAGATTTCTTTTTTGGAGTCATAGTGCAAATCAAGTGGGCATGAGAAAATTGCCACGTTTCCATCTTCACATCTGTAGAAAAGACTGCATTCTGCGTGAGGGTGGAATTCCAACAGGCCTGAGGAGCAATCGGGCTTTTGTGGGCAAGAGCTGGCCAGACATACTGCTAAAGCCAGCAGTCCCAAAAAAGCTAGGCCTAAAAAACAAAGAAATTTATCAATATCTCTTTGCATTGAGGAAATGCGGTCAGTTTTGTGTTTTAGTATTTATGTAAAATAAAAATAAATAAACGAACTTCTTGCGAGCAAATATATTAAAAGAAAAATATAAGAATTTTGATAATAATGGGCATAACTTTTGGCACAGACTGACTCAAAACCTTCTATGCGATTTGAATGGCGAGTTAAGTTAGCCTGAACCTAATTAGGATTTTGGTTATTGAAATTATTAATTAAAAATGTTTACACAATACAAGCCCTAAATTTTGTATTGATATGGTATTTTTAACAAATAATTACTATATAATAATAATAATGCTAATGATAATAATGTTTCTAAAAAGCTAAATTACTGCAGTATAAAACTTTCAAGAGAAAGGCAATTGAAAAATCAAAGGGAAAGGGAAGAACGTTATTTAAAAAATTTTAAACTGTCACTTATAATTGCTTCACTTACGTTTCATAATCAACTTGTCTCTCAGTAATGTGTGCAGCTCACTTAATTATTTTCAGGCATCTGGTTGTTCTTGTAGGGTGACCTGCAGTTTTTATACCCTCTGGGGATTAACGTTAAGATTATTGTAATTAATCCATGTTTTTTAGCTGATTTAGCTTCTTTGATGCACCAACTTATCGGTAAACCGATTTGAATTTCAAGTGGCATGATTAATTTTGATCTTCGTTGATATCTAAAATAATATGAAAACCAAGGTTCATTGTAGATTTTGAAATATCACAAGATTCACAAGCTTAATTATTAATTATCATCAGGCAATAACGTGCATTAAATTACGTTTGCTCGACATTGCAATTTTACGGCGATAATCTAGAACATGCGTAACTCTAATTTTTGATAACAATTATTCAGAATTACGACTATGAAAGACAAAATTAAGACATGACGCTGAATTTTGATACGGATTTGTCGAATTAACTGCTCATAACCTTTATATAACTGCTCTATAAGATTAGACATTGCTGAATCATATCTGCTGTGTAGGGAAAAGTCCGATAAAATATATGAATTTAAAATAATTGATTTTATAAATAATCTCTGTGTGCGAAATATAATTCGAATTATGAGATTATTCTCGCTATTTCTCGCATATTGAATACAAATTTCTGCATAAAAAATTTTCTATTCAAATAATAACGAACGTTTTTAAGAACGATTTTTATGATATGTTTGAGAAAATCTATTGGAATATAAAGTTTTCTGAGTAAAGGCCCTAATATTATTAATTTACAAAAACATTGGCTACAGTCAATTTTAAGGAAATAAAATTACTTTCATTGATTAAGAAGGACGAATATACTCATAAATCCCTATGTGTAGTTAAGAACGTGTTTCTGTGAATTTTAAACATGAATCATATATTTGGAAGACTTGGATATAAGGATATGTGATTTATTTTACTTCACATTACATTCAGGGAGTAAACAAATCAATTAACCAACTGTTTTCAAAATACGCGCAGACTATTTACCGCACCTGCATGACGTGTCAAACTAGTATTTTGGGATTCCATAAATTGATGGTTTTATTATTCCGTTTTCACTTGGCGTTGAGTTTTGACCACGGCACCATCATGCTCTGGATCGCGCTGGTCGTTTCTGCCCGTTTCCACTTCAGCCTGGCCACAGATGCCGTCAGAACCATTGGTGCGATTTTTTATTTTGCTCATTGAAATAATTCTATTTTTTTTTCTAAAGAGGTGCCTGTGTGCGAAGCCGGGATTAATTACACGCTGCCGCACTTCCACTTCTGCGACCGCTACTTTTCCTGCATCGAGGGTTTCGTACACGAAGGCCAGTGCGCCGATGGATTCGCGTACGAACCGTTCCTGGGCTGCATTTACGCGCATTTCGTCAACTGCACCTCTCGTCCGCACTTTCGTGAGTATACTAGGTATGCAACCGGCTGAACATGAAAGTGCTGCCAGTTGCATAGCATCGAAGTTGATAAATTAAATTGAGTCGCTTTATGTTCAAGGAAGTAATTTTTGAATACAGAGGAGATTGAAAAAGTATTTTAATTTATTTTTTAATGTGCAAGCAGTATAATTTCCTTGAGAAAAATATTTATCTAAACCCAATTAGTGTAATTATTTTTTTTGGAAATATTTAATAGAATGTAAGTAAAGAGAGGCCCAAATAATGCTGATAAATATTTTCATCTTATGGGAATATTTTGCTAAATTATTTTTATGATTATTATTTTTTTTCTCAAGTTAATAACTTTTGATACCAAGATTAAATTTCATATTTCCTCGTAATCAAGAAAAAAAAAAAAAATTTGATAGGACCCAAAATTTTTAATGAACAAAGATAGATCTGTAGTTTTATGGAAATGCTGTGTAAAAAGATCATCATCATAGAAATCTTGCAATGAGAGCCTCTTTAATTGATGTAATATTACAAATTGACCTAATTGTAAGAAATTAGCTTGTTTTAATATTTATCGCAGATAAAAAAAAAATATTTTGAAATTTTCTATAGAGCCTGCTGTTTCCAACGGAACGTGTCCCCACTTGAATGGCATCTTTCCTGACGTGGAACGCGGTTGCCAGCACTTCTTCGAGTGCATCAATGGCGAGGCTAAACCACTGGACTGTTCAGAGGGAATGATTTTTGACAGCGGCGTCCGCAGTTGTCGAAACCCAAACGACGCTGAGCTGGTGGAGTGTTTTGTGCCGAAACAGGAACTCTTGCCGCCACCGGTTGCCTCTGAAATGACTCCTACTGAAGGTTTCCGTCAGATAAAAATGAAATTAATTACTTTTATTAAATTTTGCAGTGGAAGTAGTTGAGAGTTCTGAGCACGAAGTTTTCAACATAAATGGAGTGAAATTCAAGTGTCCTGAGGACGACCTCTATACGTTTGGTGACCACTCTCGATACGCTTTCCCTGGCTCGTGTCGCTTTTATGTAATTTGCTGGAGGTCAGGCAAGACGACGGTCAATGGCTGCCCTCATGGAACAGGATTCAATCCTGGAAGCTTCACATGCGAGCCTATTGAGTCGCTGACTAATTGCTAATTGGATTTTGATTGAATAAACAAACCAAAATTTTTTTTTTAACTGCAGTGAACTTTTATTAAAATTAAGGTTTTGCAAGGGGCCCCTCACTAAGTAAGATCATTAGCGAGCAAAGTTAATGGAAAAATTTACATGTCGGATATCACAAAGTAAAACAAATCAGTTTATGTATTCTCGTCTACCGGTTGGAATTAATGGGATTACACAGTCCTGGCATGTGGACTCCGCTTCAGGAACGCATTGCAGGAGCACAGGATCAAATTCTTGGCCTGGTAAGCATGGAATCTCTAATTGTATGCCGAACAGACAGAAATAATAGCTTTTGCAGTCACTCTCATGTGGCTGGTTTACCCCAGCCGAAAGTATAGTACATCTCGGCTTTGCCTTGCATGGTGGGAGGGTAGGGGTAGGTACAGTAGTAGTTGTCACCTCAGTTGTGGTGGTTGCAGGCTCTGTTGTTGTCGTTAGTTGAGTGGTGGTCGTTGTCTCAGTAGTGGTAGTGACAGTCGTCGGTTCTGGGGTTGGAGGAACAGTCGTAAGCGCCGAAGTGGTCGTAATAGCATCAGTGATGGTTACAATTGGGCCAACGCAGTTTTTGCATTGTGCCATAGCCGGCACTTCACATTTTCCTGTTGCCACGCTGAACTGCGTTCCAAATGGAATACAAGGAAGGATGCTTTGCACCCCTTCTACGCACTGAACGTACTGAGCGCAATTAGGGTGAGCCAAATTAACAGTCCCGGTCGTTGGACACGTTGGTACAGTGCATGGCTGAATGGTAGTTGAAGACGTAGTAGTAGGCGCCACGGTGGTAGGCGCCGCGGTAGTAGGAGCTGCAGTGGTAGGCGCCGCAGTGGTAGGCGCCGCGGTGGTGGGCGCCGGGGTAGTGGGCGCCGGGGTGGTGGGAGCCGGGGTGGTGGGCGCCGGAGTAGTGGGTGCCGGTGTTGTGGTTGGCTGCGGTATGCACTTTGCGCAGCCGGATATCGATGGATCAACACACGTTTGTGTGGTTGGGCTGAACTCGGTTCCTGCAGGCAAGCAGGGCAAAATTGTTGATGTACCGAATACACATGAAATATAGAGCGAGCAATCGGATGGATATGGCAGCCTTGTAAGTTCAAATGATTTACAAACAGGATTGTTTGGGCAGACTCCGGGAGTTGTTGGAACAGGAGTAGTTGGAGTAATGGTGGTCGTTGGTTCTGTTGTAGTGGTGGTCGGAGTAGTAGTTGTTGCTTCTGTAGTTGGTGGTGTGGTTGTAGTAGTAGTGGTGGTGGTGGTGGTGGTGGAAGTAGTAGTACTAGATTCAGTAGTTGGTGGAGCCGTTGTGGGCTCTGGACTTATGCAAATAGGACACTGAGCTACTGCTGGATCAGTGCAATCAAGGAGCGTTGGGCTAAATTCTAGGCCTGGGGGGCACATGACGAGTTGGCTGATACCAAAAACGCATTGGATAAACTTTCTGCAATCAGGAGGATACGGCACCATTTTAGCACCGAAAGCAGGGCAGGTTGGGGTCGCCGGGCAAGGTCCAGGGGGAATTGTGGTAGTTGGAGTGGTGGTTGTTGTCGTAGGGGTGGTGGTAGTTGTGGTAGGAGTAGTGGTAGTTGTTGTAGGAGTAGTGGTTGTTGTTGTAGGAGTCGTAGTTGTTGTTGTAGGGGTAGTGGTAGTAGTTGTAGGAGTAGTAGTGGTGGTTGTTGGAGTAGTAGTGGTTGTTGTGGGAGTAGTTGTGGTCGTTGCAGGTGTCGTGGTGGTTGTTGTAGGATTAGTTGTCGTTAAGCAAGGAGGAGGAGTTGTAGTGGTGGTTCCAGTGGGCTTTGAAGTGGAAGAAGTTGTCCAACAATCACCTCCGCCTCCGCCACCCCCGCCGCCTCCTCCGCCGCCACCTCCTCCGCCTCCGCCACCTAAACATCAAGATTTTACATGTAACATTAATTGTTCGTGTGCTACAATTAATTCAAGAAGAGTTACTACACAAAACACAAGCTTACTAAATCCCACCTTCCGTACCTTGTGGTATATTTCAAAATTAATGTTATTTTAAAATTTAAAATCGAAATTTAATTCATTTTGTTCTTTGCAAACAATTGAATTACAAATTTCTTTGAGGAAAAAATTTTATGTGGGGTAAAAAAGTTCGGAAATTTAAATATAATGTCAGGTCATCTTACCCAGGCATCCCTCTCCACCGATTCCACCGGCACCCCCGCCGCCTCTTTGATCAGTTTCGTCCACGCATGAAACGCAGTCAACGTTATCGGCAAATTCACATATCGCTCTAGTGGGGTCATAGTGCAAATCAAGTGGGCATGAGAAAATAGCCACGTTTCCATCTTCACATCTGTAGAAACGACTGCAGTCTGCGTGAGGATGGAATTCCAACAGGCCTGAGGAGCAATCGGGCTCTCGTGGGCAAGAGCTGGCCAGACATGCTAAAGCCAGCAGGCCCGCTAAAGGTAGTCCTGAAATAATGAGGAAATTTATAATATTCTTTTGCTTGCAATTAACGATGCTTAAATAATATTGAAAATGGCACATGAAAATACAAATTGAATCCATAAAAAAATCAGCTTTTATATTAAGTTACGATTAAAAAATTTTATTAAAAAGGCTTATTTTATGAATATGTATTATTGCCTTTTTTATTATACTTTTAAAATAAGTAGTATAAAATAGTCAATAGTACATAGTAACATTTTTCTCGAGAGTTAAAAAATAAGCCTTTATTTTTTATGAAATTGCATACTGAAAATTAATACCTCTATAAAGATGAATTAATATTAAAATGGTAATTCAACTTCTTTTTTAAATTAAAACAAATAAAATAGAGAACGGAGTTGTTGAATTTTTTTTGAATGTTTTAGCATTACTTACGTTTCATAATTAACAAGTCTCAAAGAGGTAAAAAGTAAAGTTGCTGCTCACTTAAAATTTTTCAGCTGTCTGGTTTTTCTAATAGAGTTGCCTCTGGTTTTTATACCCTCTTAGGGATTAACATAGACATTATCGTAATTAATGGTTTTAGATGATTTAGTCTATAATCCAGCGACTTATCGACGGGGATTTAAATTGCGCGTCATCATTAATTTTGATCTTCGTTGTTCTAATCAAAAATATGAAAACCAAAGCTTATTGTAAACAACTAAGGATCACCTGCTTATCATCTAGTATTCATAATAAAAAGAATAAAGTTTGCAATCAATTTCGATCGCAATATTTCATTGCGCTGATTCATTACTGATCTTCGTTTCAACAAGTTCTGAGAACATTTTTATCAAAAGTAATTAAATAAAAATCGTGCATTATTATTTTTAATAATATGCACTTATATGGAACTGGAAATATTCCATGCCATAATATGTTATACAATTCAAGAAAGGAATACTCCCCTGGCATTCTCAATTCCAAAAGAAAATAATTCAAAAGAACTACGTACTTTGCACTTTTAGGGGTTGAATTACAACCCCTGAAAGTGCGAAGTTCTTTTTGAATTATTTTCTATCCAAATTCATAATATGCAAACAATTTTTTATTTAAATCTGATCACCATTTATTTTATTAATCAACTTATTTTCGTGAAAAGGGTTTTTTTTACAAAAAATAAGAGCTGCTTTTGAAAAATCAAGCCGTTTCATTTGTGAGTTGTTTATTATTTTTTAAAAAAAATATCAAAATATATTACACAAAATAACGAAGATCTTTGATGCATTATTAATTATTAGTTACATAAAAATAAAACGTAAACATTTTTAACGGGTTGGTGAGTCAAAGAAGGAATTTTTATTACTAGCGAAAATTATCGTTAGGTTTTTAGCTGACTTTCTTGATAAACTTTCTTTCATATTAATTCAATTTAGTACAACGAGAAGCGGCTCTCAAGAGGAAACATATTAATTGAATACCAATTTGAATAAAATAAAATTTTTACATTGGTCGTCAACGTGCTTGTGATTTCATAAGAAATTTATCATGGAGTGCAATTCACACAATTCGCCAACGCTGGTGCAACGCATCTGCCATCGGCAGCGCTGAACTGAGTGCCCCAAGGGAGACACGGCTGTGTAGTCGAGACGCCATTCACACATTGCGTGTAATATCTGCAATCGGCTGGATAGGGAAGATTTACAGTGACTCCTGGCTGACACGTGGGAGCAACGCAAGGACTTGCAGTTGTGGTGGTCACTGTTGTAGCTTCAGGTGTAGTCGAGGTCGATACTGTGGTAGTAACTTGAGGTGTAGTCGAGGTCGATACTGTGGTAGTAACTTGAGGTGTAGTCGAGGTCAATACTGTGGTAGTAACTTGTGGTGTAGTCGTACTCGATTCGAGGTAGCACTTGGGACAAGTTGAAACCGCAGGATCGACGCACTCTCTCGTAATAGGGTCAAACTCCAAGCCTGCAGGCAGACACTGAAGCACCGTCGCCTGTCCCAACGTGCATTGAATGAACAAGGAGCAATTTGAGAAGTACGGCAATGTGGTTATCTCGAAGGTTTTGCAGACCAAGTTCGCTGGACAGTTTCCGGCAGGAGGAGGAGTTGTTGTGGTGATTGGTGGTGGAGTAGTCGTCACCTGAGAACCACATTTGGGACAGTTGGCCACCGCAGGATCGACGCATTCACGCAGAGTGGGGCTAAACTCGGTACCTGCAGGCAAGCAAGGCAAAAGAGTCGCCGATCCCAAGACGCACTGCTGGAACAAAGTGCAGTTGGACGGATAAGGCTGTCGAATGATCTGAGTCGGTGAGCAAATAGGTGTTGCTGGACAGTTATCTGACGGTGTAGTTGGAGGAGTTGTTGACGGTGTTGTTGTTGTCGTCGTTGGAGTTGTTGTCGTCGTAGTGGTTGTGGTCGTCGTTGGAGTGGTTGTAGTTGAAGTGGTTGTAGTTGAAGTGGTTGTAGTCGTCGTAGTAGTGGTGGTGGTGGTGGTTGTTGGAGGTCCACAGGATGGGCACTGGGCGGTGATCGGGTCGGTGCACTCGCGCAGGCTCGGACTGAAGTGCTGACCAGAAGGACACGTTAGCAAAATGCTGTAGCCGAAGATGCACTGGCGGAATCTGGTGCAGTCAGGGGGGAAGGGCACCATCGTGATGCCGCTTAAGGGGCACAATGACTCTGGGCAAGGTTCAAAAGGTGGCTTGGTGGGAATGGGGGTGAACGTGAAGTCCTTCGTCCTTCTCGGCGTCGTTTTGGTCAACGACGAGGAGCAGCTACGGCATTGCGAATAGGTCGAGACGCAGATTTTGCTGGTGGGGTCAAAGTTCAGTCCAATTGGGCATTCGAAGGTGAAAGGTGTTCCATCCTGGCACCTGTAGAACCGGTTGCACTCGGCGTGGGGGTGAAATTCGATGCGACCTGACGAGCAGTCAGGTTCTGTGGGACAGGTGCCGGCGGCCAGGCCAATCGCGGCCACAAGGACCGTGAGTGCTAGCGCTGAAATGTGGAATTTGAATTATTGATAAGTCTATTCGCGGAACTTGTGAAATATGCGGTGATTATTTTTGCGTTACGGCAGATAAGGAGCTGTCAAATTGTCAATCAATGTCTTTATAGTGAGATCAAATCGATTTTAATTACCTGGGATTATTGAAATTGCCTTGGCTTATTTTAATAAATATTTGATTTATCTCAGCAATTTTGCGATTACCTCTACAGATTTAGAATATTCAGTCATAAAGAAAAAAAAATTTAAGCAAGAAAAATACGCACTTGCAAATAATATGAGTAAAAGTTGATCAAAATTCAAACTAAAATTTTTTTGAAGACATTAAATTTCAATTAGATAGCACTCACTGTTCATTTGAGTATAAATGTTGTCCTAGCAAAGCGTTTCTGACTACTGATTAAATATGCACACTATTTAGTCCCTTTTATTGACTATGAGACTGACATTATCTCTAGAACTCAAGTGCTTGTCATTTATTCTGATTTTTTTTGCCGGCAGAGTTCAAAAGAAGCAAATAATTTTGCCTAAACAATCAGCTTCAATGACAATTATTGATGTACTTAAATAGAAATTGAATTTTATCAAAATTACAATATGAAATGCAACAACCTTTGTAATTATCAATAATATCTTTTAAAAAATTACATAAAAATTTTTACAAAATTTTATCAAAGAGATTTTAACAGATTTTGATGATAAAATTACGGATTTTGGAATAACTAGACCAATTCCTCAATTAATTGAAAATATTGGTTATAGGTTAGAAGATGATAACTTATTTTAAATTTTTTAAGAAAAAGGAGTAATTTTAGTCTTAAATCGCGTGAATGATAAGGAAAGAAATTTGGAACTTTACGAAATATTTCTCAACTTTCTCTATTTATTATTAAAAATATTTAACATTACAAATATTTAGCGCCTTGGAGGTTTGTGATTTTATTTCAAAAAATGAAGAGTCCTCCAGGAATCCTCCGGAAAATCATCCTAGAGCGAAAGGTGGAAAATCTGCAGTTGCTAAATAGAAGGTGCCTCGCGTGCTAAATTTATAATTTTATAAGTTCTGTGTTGAAATAAATTCCTAAGCGGCGCGCTTACTTGCTGGGGGTTGGATATCCCATTGACACCTGCTGAGTTGAGTTACAAAAGCCAGCCAAAAAGTCGTCCCAGGAATCGCACTGGGCGGCTCGAAATTCGTCCGACTGGATCGACTCCATGAAAAACACCCAGCACCGTTCATGGCTGCAGGAAGCTGTAGATCAAAATAAATTACTTAACAGATTAACTTTTGCTATTTATTTTCTCACCGGTTGGATCAAAGCCGCAGCCCGGTTGTTTGTGGACGCCGCCGTTTGGATAGAAATCAACGTGACCGATGGGCAGGTCGAACCCTAAAAGACCAGCGCATGTGTGAATTACGTCCACGAAAAGTGCGTCCGAGTCGGCGAGTCGTTCTGTGGCGTTGTCGAAACTGAAAAGAGGCAGGGCTGGGTCCAATCCTGTAATAAAAAGACAAACCAGTAGATAAATTTTCCACATATTTAACTTTTTTGCAGGCTTTTAATTATTTAATTTTTTTATGTTAAATGATAATATTTTATTTATTATAGTAAAAAATTTAAAAAAAATGCCCATTTATAATTTTTTGTATTTTCATCTCGAAGTCATGATAACAAGATATCGCACCACTATAAGCTCACCTGCGTTACTGCCAAAATGAATTTTGTACCACAAAATTTAGTCCTGATTTTAATAAATTATATTTAACAATTTAATTTTGACTCCGAGGTTCAAATACTTTTGGCAGGGAAAGCATTTTTAAGTGATAGATTTTCACATGGACGAACGAAAATTTACCATTGTAATTTTTTATCAGTTCGAATTATATAATTCTGTAAATACGTATTTACCAGTGATGCGTCCGATTTGTCCATCGAGGACTTTCCCAGCGTATCCGCAAACATGCGCCCCTAGCGAGTGGCCAAGACAGTGAACCGTGGAAAGATCAGCCCCAGAATTGTCCGCCAGAAATAGCAAAAGGTCTCCCAAGTGTTCTCCGACGGGTCTGGTATTTCTCCTGGCCACGTTGTACAACGGGTTGGCCGCCGCTTTGGCCCAATCGACCGAAATCACGTTGCAATCCTCAATGCCGATAAAAACTGCACTTTAAATTTTATTTTTGTTCGATAACTTTTCATTATTTTTTCTCACGGGAAGTCATGTTCTTGATCCAATCGAGGTACCCGTTGCTGCCAAAGCCGTGGATCAAAACTTTGATGCATTTTGATCCGTCAAAAGTCGTGCCGTTTAAATCATTGACGTAAATTTCAACTGGCTCATCTGGGTTCGAACTAAATAATATATTAAAAAATAAAAATTTAATATATGTATTTTAATTTAATTTCTATGGCTTGTGATTTTGATATAATCGGTGATGAATTAAAGTAATGAATAATCATTGAATTAATCAAATTGTTGCTGTTTTCGTTCAATCGGAATAATTTTATTAAACAGAAAAATGTCAATATTGATCAACCTTTAATTTATGATGTTGTTTTCTAAACCCTCTTTATCAGCAGATTTCTCTTTATCTATTAAATAAAAATTAGCCCAGCCAATCCGATTAATTTTCGACAAAACATATGACATGAGTGATTAGCAAGCAGAATGTAAATTTTTCTGTAGCTTAGTAATGTCCAGAAAATTCATTAATTTATTCTGATGTGCAACTTCTGATATAAAAAAAATGCTTGGTCGCGATTTAGTGACGCTGCAACATTAATTCCTGACGAAATTTTGTGACATATTATGCTGTATACCTGGAGTAAAGCAAAAAATTGACGTCATTCTGCAAGTCGAGCTCAAAGTTTTCCAAGTCATCAATCAAGCGAGCTGATAGACCTGCCAATTTAAATCTTGATCAATGGAAAGGCTGAAAGAGGTGGATTTTGCTTCCTACCCGCATGAACGATTTGGAGGAGCGACAGAGCGATCACCAACCGATGCATGGCTAATAATGGAATTGCGTTCGTTATTGTTGCTTCACAGAAAAGAGAGAGGTGTGCAGCACTTGAAATTTTTGTAACGTTGAGAGAGGGCTGATTATCGCGGCCCTTGAGATTACACAGTATTCAGGGGTCACAGTAGCTGCTTTTTGAACGCAGCAACTATTTAAAAAATCCACAAACAATAAAATAAATTGGGAAATTCAAAATATAGCCATAATCTGTTTTAGTACCTTTAGTAGGAAAATGATTAAAGAAAATAAAGCAAATAAAAATATTTTGTAAAAAAATGAAAAGGGAATAATTTATTTTTCAGTAAAATTATTGTAATGATCTAGTTAAGTGAGCTGATTCGTTTTCTTTTTCAAGTTTGATTGAATGTCTGACAGCATAATTTTGATAATAAGGACACTTGAGATTAGACACGGGTGTCGCTGGCAAACACGGCGTTCGACAAGTGGCCCTCAAGTACGCACCAAACTGTGCTATATGCGATGGATGACGTTTTACATTTTCATATTAACGACCCTCACGACAGCAGGGACCATTTGTGCGTTTTTTTTCTATTCCAAGCGCAGATGTTGCTCGGCCACAATAAAGCGATGAGTTTCTAGTGGTCTCCCTACAAAGTCGAATTTTCGTATTTTCTCATCGGCGTCAACATGTTTTGAAATTTTTATATCACGCGCTTCTAGATTTTTCGTCATTAACCGCGAAACAAACGGATCCACCTGGCTAATCTCCTTGGCCGCCAGAAGCAAATAATTCGCGCCAACTTAAATCTTTTTAATCTAATCGCACTAGCAATCTTGCTATTTTATTCCTCTCTAAGGCCGACTGACTTTCATTGCGTTGAACGCGATTACGCTTTTGCAACTGCCTTGGTGATAAAAGAACAATGACGCGTTAGAAAATTGCTGATAAAGAAAAAAAATGTGTAAAATCAGTTATTGAGCGTAGATTGACATAGCGAATTACAGAGAGAAATTATTTTCTACATTAATATTATCAATTCAGCATTAACTAAAAAATTGTAAGCCGAAATACCAAAGTTAAAACAATCCAAAAAATGTGCTGTGCTTTGTAACAAATGGAATTAGAAGAAATTTGCGATTAAGGTTTTATATGTGAAGAAAAAAAATTTAAAATTTATTAAATTCGGTACATTTTATTAATTTTGTGATTTTGAATATTTAGCATTAGCAATGAAATTTCTTTTTATATTTAATTTCATTTAATAATAAAAACATTACTTGTAAAAGTTGATTCTTTTTTCACTGATCTAGACTAATGTGTTCAAGCCAAAGCGATTACTGATGCTATTTTTATTCTATATACATACATATATACAAGCGGAGCAAAATTTATAAAATTAAATTTTCAATATGGAATCATTTGACCGCGTTGAATTAATTGGTGGTGCTCTTTTTATCCTAAATGCAACCGGAACAAAATTAAAAATGTTTGAAAGTTAATTAAAATTAACTATATTTTTCTATTAAAAACAATATAAACTTTTGCCAAATTTAATTCTTGTTACATCGCAGATTCGACCGCACTGAATTGATTTCTGATGCTCTTTTTATCCTAAATACCATAACAAAATCGAAAAGATTAAATTCTATGACTAGAATTTCAAAGTCTAAGGTTTAATATAATTCAAAAGTATTTGAAATAGCTAAATAAAATTATTAAAAGTTTCAAGATATTATTATAATATTGCAGGGGTGGAAAGAGAATGGATAAATCGTTGGCAGTTAATTATAGAAGTTTGATGAAAGTAGGTTTGCATTAAATGTTATTTAAAACCTTTTTTCTTCAAATGACTCCAATTGAAATTTCTATTTAATGTCGAGTTTGGTTTTCATGGAAATGCATGTTAGGAATTTTAAATGTTGCAATAATTCTGCAAATTGAAATTAATGGAGAGAAACGTGAAGCTGCAAATTAAAATACAGCGTGTCGTTGAAATTATCTCCGTGCTCGCGTAATTTGCAGACGCAATTTGCAAAGTTAATGTCGTGTATAACAGCCCGAGTCTGCCGCCGCGAGTATTAACAAAATTCGTCGTTCAATTTGCGAGATAAAAGCTCTCGAGGCACAATAGCGACTCAAATGAGGAAGGGAGCAGCGTAATTTGCAGCCTTTTTGTGCGAAAACGCGGTGCGCGCATTCAGAAAAAAAGTGGGCACTCGAGCGCGCTTTGCCATTTTGCTTTTCTCCCCCCACGACGGCGATGCACTCAGCCAAGAACAATGTTTCTCTAACAAGAGAGAGCCACAGACGTGCTCGCGTCCGCCGCGCTCTATTTTCTTAACAATACGAAAATTCCCTGCTTTTCTTGCTCGTTTCGTCTCTCTCTGACGAGTGTGTAACGAGGATATTAAGGAATTACGCCATTATTTGTGTTGCGGGTGGAGGAGAAGATTTTTGCAAAGCGCCCCTCTTTTGCAGCCAAACAAAACAACCGAAACATCTCCCCAGTAGTCACTTCCCAGTTTAAATTGTTCAAACCTTCGCCGTCCGTTTTTAGGGTCAGAAAAGCGTGCCCAAAAAAGATACGAAATTTTTGTCGCAAGATTTTGAGCAGATTGATTTTAAACACCATTGAATAAATCTAATTATTCACGAGAAAATAACACATCTTTTTGTAAATTTTTACACTTCCTCTTTAAATTTTATTTATTGCTCAGGCTCATTCTGGAATCAGAACCAAAATATCAAGTAAATTGCTTTATTTTGGTTCAAGTAGCTAACTTTATATAACTGGAAAATTGATTGAACAATTAGAGTCTTTGATTGATATTTAAATTTCATTAATTTTTTATTTTACGTAGTAAAAATATAGTAAAAAATCGAAACAAATCGTGAATTAATGGCCGGTAGACACAAATAACAAATAAAAAATTTAAACTTTGTGTGAAAAAGGCATAAAATAAAGATATTTTTTTTTATATTTACCTGTAAATCAAGCTCAAATTAAAAAAAAATCAACTCCACCTGGAACAACCTATAATGTATACAATTAAAGAGATGAAGTCGAATTTATATATTTAATTTATTTCCACAAATTGTATCTTTTTTATTGAAAAAATGCAGAATATCTTTAATATATCGAGCAATCTCAATTTAATATTTCAGTTTTGCCTTTTTTTACTATTGTAGTCACCGAAATGTAGATAGCGCGCGGAGTCCGAGTCGCGGGTCTAAAGAATCACAGCCTAATTTAATTTTGTACCCGCGCCGGCGACTATTTTTAACCCTGCTCTGGTGAATGCACCCGCTTCTCGTTCACAATCGTCTTTGTCGCCGGCGCAAAATACCCTTGTTAAAAAACGAGCCGACGCTGTTAAACGCAACTTGCTTTTCTTTCAGTCGTTTAATCCAAATCGCGGGGCGAGGAGTTTGTTCAGTTTTTCTTTGAATTTCTCTGAATGGAGGAAGAGAATAGGGATGGTGCAGAGGAGGAGTTGCGGCAGGTGGAGAGGAGGCACGTGTCGGTGCACTTTGACTGCAGTTGCACCGACGAGGACCTGGCGCGAATCGCGCGAGAGCTGCGGGAAGACCCGCGCCTGCTGGACGGCTACGGCGGCCAGTGTTGCCCGCCCCTGCTGCACGCGGTCATCAAGGAGCACCCCAGGTGCGTCGCTTTTCTCCTCGAATGCGGTGCCGAGGTGAAACAAATTAACCAAAACAATTCTAGCACAAAATCAAAAATATTTCCAAAATTCCGATTTGTCTCATTTAAAATTTAAATTTTTTAAATTTTCAACTCTTAAATGGGCTTATTTTAATCATTTCAATTTTTTTTTTAATTTTCGATTTAAAAATTATTTGATTGTGTTGGTTTGAGAAGTTATGTACTAAAATTTTGTTTTGCAGGTGAACCAAGAGTACGAAACGCTGGGCGAAAGCGCCCTCTCGTGTTCCGTCACCCGCTCAACTCCAGATATAGCTCACATGCTGCTTGCAAGCGACGCCTCTGGAATAAACGTAAAAAGTTCGCTCACCCACGAAACTCCGCTGGTCAAAGCTGTGAAACACGGAAACGCTCAGACTGTCAGGCTCCTCCTTGAACACGGGGCAAGACCCAATTCTGGAACAGAAAGAAACGGTGATTTAAACATAAAAAAACTTTAGAAATTAGATTCTCCTTATTATCTTTAAAAAATGTGCCTAATAAAGAAAAAGTAAAAAAGTTGTATAAGTTTTATGCAATTTGCTCTGCAGCACAATGAAGCAAGTTGCCTACCTTCAATTCGGAAGGGGGGCAAAAACTTTTGATAGAGCAAAAGTACTCCAAACAAATCCCTTTTATGATAAAATAATCTAACAAACACACTTTTTAAAATTTAAATATTATAATTTCTCTTTTAATAAATATTTGAAATATTTATTTAAAAAATCCTACTTTTTTATGCTTTCGTCCATTTAATTAATGAAGTTTTTCAACGTCGCAGATGATGTGATACCTTGCGTTTATCTGGCCGTCGAGCTTGGCCACCAATCAATCGTGACTGACCTGCTGGCACACGGCGCCACCCTCACCGGCCACTCCCACTTTGACAAACACAACGTGCTGTACAAACATATGCAGTTCGCGATCGCCGAGGGTCAGCTGGAGACGGTGCGCTCCCTTTGTCTGTACGGCGCACTCAAGGAGCTCTGCAAAATCACTCTCTACCCCGAGCTCAGCACCGTCATCCACTGCAACTTCACCCTTTTGGGAATCATTTTCCGGTAACTATATCCGCTAATAGGAAAAAATTATTATTATAAATTATAATGAAATTTTTCAAGGAATGAAAATTCGTTGGAGGTAAACGTGAGGATGCTCAACATTTTGTACGAGTTCGGATTCAACTTCTGGAAGTGCGACAAACACGACAAGAACGCGTGGAAGAAAATGGAAAAGCTGCAAACGAACGAGTTCACCAAATTGCTCATCTACCGAATTTTCAGGCTGCGGTCTCGCCCGATGCAGCTCAAGCAGTTGTGCCGCATCAAACTGTTGAACTTTTTTGAGCACAAATTTCTCAAGAGCGTCCCGCAGTTGTTGATTCCCAACGAACTGAAAGACTATTTGCGATTCAGTGATGTCAATTGAAACCAATTTTTGTTTAAAATAGGAAATAAAAAAAAATACTCCAAATTCAATGTCAACTTTTTTAAATCTTTTAAAAACTATGAAATTATAATAGTGATGGTAATTCATTTTTCTGAAATTCTGCAAAAACTACAAATTTTTGATGAGAGCTTTTGGCAGTTTGGAATAAAAGGGAAAAAATGTTTGTGGAAAAGCTGACGGATCGGTCAACTATCCGGATATTCAATTTCGAGTTTAATTCCAGAAGGCACTCGAAGGAGCTTACCAAAGAGACGGAAGAGAATATTAGAAATTTGCGGAGAGTGAAGCGGGCGGGTGGGCTGAGCAAGAGAGAATGAATGTTCAAAAGGCTTTCTTGATTGTCTTTGGCTGCTGCAATATCAGAGAGGATGGATGTGGACATAAAAGCCTACGCCCGCATCTCTCTCTCGCTAAGCACACACGAAATGCAGAGCTTCCACAAATATTTTCTCTTTTCCGTCTCTCTTTGCTTACGGCTGATCAAAGGAAACCGTCAACAAAACAGCAGCCGAAATGATGAAAACAGCCTGCTTTTTGAACATCGCTTTAATACTTTTCTGCACGCGAAACAATCGCCGGGCAAATTATGCCTTGATGGAGCGCAATTACCAGCACGTTCAAAGTAGTGGCGACGCATCAAAACACTTTGCATACTTAAGCTCGCACTCGCACCAAAGGGAGTCTGGAATATTAAAAAAAAAAGGAAGAGCGAGTCCTCTTTAAAATAAAAATTATAATGCAACAACCGAATCTAGAAACTTTTGGCTCACCTTAACCCAGTCAATGAAAATTAAAATTAATTATTTAAATGAAGCTGCTTTTGCCAAAATAAATGAAATTTCAATTAATATTGTATACAAAAAATTAAATAATATTTTATATCGAGTTATGTGGTTTTTGTCAAAATAAATAAAATTTGTATTAATATTATGAAAAAGTTTGTTAATTAAATTAAAACAACTTTTTATATTAGTTTTTATTGTGCCCCCGTAAATATTATTTGTATTATTAATTAATATTATATTATAATTTGCCTTAAACATATCTAAAATATGTTGCGAAAATTAATTAATTTAATGGCAATTTTAATAGCATTGCAACATGAAATATTTTTGTGCGTTTTAATTTTGGATTCAATCTCAAATCTTTAAAAACCCAATCGTTTCCACTGAAAACACTTTAATTCACATCTTTCACAATTATACTTTTTATGATTTCGTTCATAAATATTTTTTACAAATCACTGAAAAAAAAATGTGATATTATTCCGAGCCCCATAGCGAGCTGCTTTTGATAATATTTCCGCAAGTTTTATTCATGACCCGCTGAAGAGTGGCAGATGTGCCCCTCAGAACAAGGATCTTGTATAGGCACAAGTTATTACAATCAAAACTGTCTACTCGAGCACTTGATATGTCCCTTGCGTGTTTCAAAATCGAAAGCTTGAGTGGTTTCTCGTGAGAGCTGCCCGTCCGCACCGCGAATATGTAAGTATAAAACAATGTTTGAACAGGGTGCAGTTTTCACACATTAATCCGAATTAGGGACGCAAATGGGCGCGTAATTGACGTGCAGAGAGGGGACCAGGGGGGTGCGCTGATTGCCCCTCGAATCAAATCCCTGCTGCGAATTTCAAAGGCCGCGAGCGAAGGTGTTCAACCTCCCATAAAACACTCTCTCGGCTTCAAACGCGCGCCCTTTGTTTACAGAAGCTAACGCGCGTGCAGTCGGTGCGGAGGCCCTAGTTTGAGCTCAGCTCACTAATCCCCTCGATCGGTCTGTAATTAAAATCGCCGACTCTGGCCGATTCATTCAAATAAGGGCTTTTGCATTTAATAGTAGGCTATAGACCGCGAAAATATATTATCCATTTATGATCATATAGTAATATCAGATGGATTCAAAATAATTGTCAAACTTGAGACGAGGGATAAATATTGATCAAAAATTAAAAAATTAAAACACGCACACACACACATTTTGTATTAAAATGTATAGCGGGTGGTCTAACGATAAATTAAATGTAAACCGGCAATGACCATACACACAAGTTTTGATAAACTTAGTCAAACTTAGTAGTGGAAAACTATATATAATAATATTCCGTTTTTTTTTATGTGTCAGTTAAATTTTAAAATTTTATAGATTATTTGTTCGTCTTTGGATAGTTTTTTTAGTCACTTGTATACAATTAGCATATCTCTTCTTTTTTGTTTGAGTTAAAAAAGCACAAGAGATTTTATGCATTTCATAAAACTTGTGTAGAGCGCCTTGCATCAAACAACGCACTATTAAAGCTTTTTCCTCTCTCGCACAATCAACAATCGTGCAAAAGCGCAGCACTTTACTTCAAATGTCCACAGGCAAAATGAGAGTATTTTTGATATGCGTGGGAGAATTGCCGCGAGATATGTATTTTGTACTTATCGGCACAATAACAATAAAATGCGCTCCCCAGCCTGAATACGCATCACAATAACAGAGGAAAGGGTTGCGTTTCATCCGATTTTGTTACACTTTTGGTATGAAAAGGGGTCGATTAAATAGCACGATTGTGATGCTTCTTACCTCCCAAGTTGAGGGAAAATTCCTCAAGTATACAAAAAATTATTCTAATTGAGAATTTATACAAAATGAGGTGGGAAATGAAAGCAAATTATACAGCAGAGCAGTATTTTTTTTATTTATTTGAAGATTTGAATTTTAGAGCTGATTTAAAAGAGTAAAATGTTTCTGCGGAGATCACAGTTTTTGCTCCAATTAGGCTGAATAATTAGTTGAAGCCGCTAATGCGAAGAGGAAGTGTGAGGGAGTGTGAAGGAAACGTGCGAGCCAGGCAATTACCCGTGCTCAGCTTGTGATTAAAATATTTTTCTCGTTTAATAAGCGGCGTGAGTCAAAGAGCGCGCGAGAAGTGGAGAGAACAAATTATACGCGGTGATTTTTCTATGCACGGGATAACAAGGGCCGCGCTGAAGCCACGCAGTCTGGAGAGCAAACATGTGGCTCTCATCATATGCAGCATTGCACAGATGGTCCTCTTTCATGAAAGCAAGAAAATGAGCCGCTCCGCCGAGATGATGAGGGTTCCCTCGTCTTTATTGTGTAAACACCCTGACGGTTCTTTCCCATAAAAATCAAACCAAGAGAGCACACTGCAGGCTACTCATACATACAAAATAATACTGTGCTTGGAAATCATTTTCAAAAGTGATGCGATACCCAATTCCGGAAATATTCTAAAAGCTGTAGGAATAGTCAACGTGGTTATAAAATTTAAGAATGTGAATTAAATTTCACTTTGAAGCTTTAAATTGGAGACATTTTTAGAGAGAAAAGTCAATTTGAACCAAATTATAGCACAATTCTTTTGTTTAAATTTCAATTGATATTTAAATATTTAAAAAACTAAAAAATAGCAAATTATCAATGGTAATTAATTATTAATTTTTACATGAAATGTGATGTAAATTTTAAAACTTTTGTAATGCCTGTTATTTGTCTTTGTAACAAAAAAAATTTAATTTAAGTAAATGGATTACATATTATAGCATAAAATTATTATAAAATATAAATCATATAAATATTAATTCAACTTATAAGGAAAAAAAACAACAGTTTGTGAATAAAAAATAGCAAAATTATCTTAATGCGGCTGTTTGTGAACGTGAGCAGCTCCGCCTCCGTGGGTTGAGACTCACCCCTGGAGGCGGGGCCTGGTCGGCGGCGGCGGCGGTCTCGGTCGTCCGCAGCACGCGGGGCCAATCAATGCCGGTGGCAAGTGCGCGGCGACGACAACAAGAGCAGCAGACAGACCATGAGCGTGCAGTGGCGAGCGTGCGGCGTGCCGCCCCCGGTCGAGCCGCCCCCGGCAGACTCGTCCGACTCGGACGTGAACGTGGACAGTTCTTCGGAGCAGGAGGACGAAGGGTGTTGCCTGCAGGGTGAGGATGGCCAGGATGGGAAGCTGCAGCAGGAGAAAGCAGGGGGCAAGAGCGTGAAGCCGCCGTACTCGTACATCGCCCTGATCACGATGGGCATCCTGCAGAGTCCGCACAAGCGGCTGACCCTGAGCGGCATCTGCGACTTCATCATGGCGCGCTTCCCGTACTACCGCGACAAGTTCCCCGCGTGGCAGAACTCGATCCGCCACAACCTGAGTCTCAACGACTGCTTCGTCAAGATCCCCAGGGAGCCCGGCAACCCCGGCAAGGGCAACTACTGGACCCTCGACCCCAACGCCGAGGACATGTTCGACAACGGCAGCTTCCTGCGCCGCCGCAAGCGCTACAAGCGCCACCCGCCCCCGATGAGCCACCACCACCACCACCACCTCCAGCCCCCGGTCCACAACTTCTTCCTGCACCACCTGCAGCCCTTCGCCTTCCTGCCCCCGCCGCCCCCGCCGCACCTCTTCGGCCTCCGCCCGCCTCCGCCGCTGCCGCCCCTCAGGCCGGTGCCCACCCTCTACCAGCACAAGGCCGCCGCCGCCCTCAAGTCCGGCTTCACCATCGACTCGCTCCTCACCACCACCGCCCCCGCCGCCTCCAACCCCTCGATGCACGCATCCGCCTTCGCGCCCCTCACCAGTCTCGGTCTCAACCTGAGAAGGACGGACACCACTTCTTCCTTTCAACTTTGAAAGGTGAGAAAGACGAGCTTTGATAAAATTTTCAATAAAAACTTCTTCAGGTTTTTTTATTGATATTAAAGAGCAAATTGAATATATCTGAATTTATGAGTGATATCTTTAAGCAAAGAATGACAGTCAACAAACCTTCTTTGCAACTAAAATTTTTAATTAATTTTGCAATTTTGTTCCCAGGTTTCCTTTAATTCATCCTTTGGTATGTACGCTGAAGATAATTAAGTTCTAAAATTGAAACTGTTCAAAAGTGAGGAAGATAAGACTTTGAACTCAAAATAAGAAGTGTTGTGCGAAGAAATTAATAATTTGCTGTGATATCGCAAAATGAACTCTGTTAGATTTTAAATGAAAAAATATATTGTAATAAATTACGCTTTAAAATGAGGAAATGCGTGTTTTCCACTTTTGCAATTAAAACCATGACAAAGATTAGAGAGATGCATAAAAGTTGCAGATTTCCTATTATTCAACCAAATTGGCTTGAATCATAAATTGCACTGCAAACTCAGGTAATATATATGCAACCGGCAAAAAACTTATATTTACATTATTAAATTGAAAAAAAGGCTGCATTATTCAATTAAAAAAGTCTGTAATACGCTTGTTTTGACAATTTGTGAAAAGGTTATAAAAATATAAGATTAAAATTTTTAAATATAAATAACTTTTGATAATCATATACATACCTCAGTAGGTTATTAGTCACATAACTCTATAGGTTGCTTTTAAATATTTGTAGATAATATCTTAGAAAATTATAACAATTAAAATGAAAACTTATAAAGCTTATATTAATTTTAAAGTAAAATTATCTTTTTATATCATTAACACACATTGAAAACAATTATATAATACATTATTTTATTACATTTTCACCAAAATTAAATAGATGATTTTAAGTTTCTTTTTTGTATATGTCTTGATGCAGATACAACTCGGCTTTTAAATTTTCAAAATAAACGCCGTGATTTGATTTAATTTAATTATTAGTTAATATAACGGAAAATTTTAATCCCACTAATTTTCACATTAACAATTCATTCATTTTATTCAACATATTTATGTAATTTTTGCGTTGCTATAGAGCTGCAGAGAAGCTTTTATTGATCGTCTGCAAGTTATGGATTTGTTTTTGTGTGTAGTTATTGCAAGAGGGTGTTGAGTTCATGATTGCGTTTTTCGTTCTTCAAAGGATTCCCTTTTCGCTGCACACAGACTGACGCGTATCGCTGCTGCATATAATATTATGTGTATGTGAACAAAAAACACACACGACGGACGGACGGGGCGAGGAGGCGCAGTCGGATGGTAATTCCCCAACGGAAATAATTTTGTTTGTTGAGTATAGCGGTGGTAAGAAAAGCTACTTTCTTAAGCCCTCGCTTTGTGGGGCTTCGCCTTGTCATTCCGAGAATGTGGACATGCAAAGCAGGGGCCACAAATTTACAACCTTAGCTTTTTTTCAATTAACTCGAAATAGTCAAAAATTCCTAAAAATTCCTTTCGTTCGACGAGAGAGAATAAAAATGCTATATTTACGGACATTTTAAATATTATAGTTTGATGTTTATAATAAAAATGTATTTGTCAGGACAGTGTGCACACACATGTCGGGAGCTGTTTGTGCGCAACAAAAGAGCGCGTGTATTTTTATATATACGGAGCAAATCAGCAGCCATTGTCGGCGAAGAATAATCTTTGCTCTGCGCCAAAATAGCCTTTTCTCGCCGCTGACAGCCGCGCAGCTGCCGCACAATAGCTTATTGGCGACCCATTTCCCAATAATATTTTCAAAGACCACCCAAACCTGCTTTTGTGCTAATTTTTCCGGCTACCGTTGACGGGGCGCGCAACAGTTTAACTAGATAATTAGACCAAAAGCCTTATTTACTTCGCCGCGATCTTTTCACGCTCCTCCGATCTCAGCCCCCCTCATACACCACCCTCGCTTGTGTATAATAAAATTTTATTTGTCAGATCTCGCGCAGGGTTCACGTGCGATAAAAAGCTGCAGCACCTGGAAGCTGCGCAGTCAATTACGTCATGAGATGTCGAGGGAGGAGAATGACAGCGAGTTATAAAAAAGGAGAGACATCGCGGAGTGGAGCGTGCTTGGATTCTTCTGATCAAAGGGTGCATTCGGCATTTCATTTGGATCAAATGCGATTTCAAACATCAGTCAATCATTTCTCAACAAAATGATCATATGATTTTTTTCTTCATTAAACATCAGTTGAATTGTCATGATAAAAATATGTTTAAATTTTCAAGAGCATGAAGTTGATAAGAAAATTTTGAGATTAAAAAGTTTTCTTTCGCACAAATTATTAATTATGAATAATGCATGCTTAATTAAAAATCTTCTTTGGTTAATTATCTTAAAAATTTTTGGAAAAATATTTAACCGCAGTTTAATTGATATATTTTTTTAATTAAATTTCCTTTTTATTTATCTATGCAAATAATTTTAAATAATTTTCATTTGCATAAAACTTTAAAATTTCTAAAAATCCGTTAAATTTAAGAAAGATCAACGCATACATCGGCATTTCCAAATTTTTTATCTGCTAAAAGTACAATTTTATTTTGCTGCTAAAAAAGTGTAACAGAAATGTAAGTTGTATCAAATTATTTTGAGGCTCTCTGTGGACTGTGGGAAAGAAAAATATTGCTCTTCTCATTTTGGTGGCGCGGCGAGTGTGTACTTTACTTTTCGGTTAGGCAATCTCGCTCGGCGTGTCACTTTTGCCCGCTGCAGTTTCCAAGATACGGCGGGTGTATAAATTTGCTTTTGGGTGAAAAAACACGAGAAGACGAGTGTGTGCTCTCGGCGTGCGTAAATTATGGTGAGAAATTAACTGTTTGACAATTTTAGTTGCGCACCAAATGTGTCAAAGGTTATCATCTCTCTCAAGCAGGTTCGCTGCAGCGATAAGGAAATATTATACAAAAAGGATGCGCAGCTTTTGCGCCGAAATGGAGCAAAACACACGTCGCGCATAAATTTTCATTGCGTTTCCAGCTGAAAAATAAATTGTGTTTGCCCAGAGATTTATTAATAAAATATACGCGCTTCGCACGTAGGTTGTTTGTGATTTTTGAAATTATACTTTCCATAAATTTGTCGTTTTGAAAGGCAACATGACTGTTTCGAAACAACTTGCGATATACAGTTGTGATTATTGAATAATATAAATCACACACTGAAGCTTAGGAAGAAAATGGCATTTCAATCAGCAGCGAATCTCAATAAATATTCAAACTTGGATATATCCGATTTTAACCATATTATTTTTGAAATGGAAAATTTTAAAAATGTTTGAGTGAAAATCCTAGAAAATGGAGAGTTGAAAAATGATATGTACTAATTATAAAAAAATGGATACATTTTGACATGGAAAAACAAATTAACAATATTATATTTTTCATTTTTATAATTCTTTTTTATATAAATTATTGGTAGCAAATTTTGTCAAAAACATTATGCTATCTCTTTCAGACTTTGTAAAGAAAAAAAATTAAATATATGCAAACTTCAATGAGAAATCAATATATAGAAGATAATAAAGTTTCAATTCAATGCATACAAATCCCACAACAAATAATTTTGGCAATTTGGCAACTTTGGTCATGTTTGGGTTTTGATTATGTGAAACTAAACCGATCGCAGACATTTACAGAGAGTGAATGATAAAAAAATGTTTGAATATTTTGAGACACAGAAAGTAAGCTTAAAATATTTAGGATTTTTCATTGTTTTAGGTTGATGTTGGAAGAGATAAAATATGGTTATTACATTATAGTACAAATTAAATTAGAATCTTGAAAAAAAATATATTTTATAGGGTAATAGTGAAATTTGAATTTGAAGTGATGATTTTTCTTCTCCGAAAATCAGAGTCGTCTTTAAATACTTAAAGAAAAAAAACCAAGAAACTTCCAGAAGGGAGATTGTGTTTTCTCGATAAATAAGGCTGAAATTTTTATAAAATTATATACATTTGAACGTCTCTTTTCATAAAATTTAGGCCTTAAAAACATGACTAAATGAAAAATTTGGGTAATTTTGCAGGGGTGAATTTAGTTCGTATTTCTCTAATCTTTGGAATTAATTTTCCAGAAGGAAAAACGACGAAAGCAGGCGTTTTGTTTACTCTGAGAGAGCCGTGCGCAGGAACTGGTATAATAATTCTCTATGTCCCTGCAGTGGTGGTGGTGGCGGCAGATCAAACGGCTCAGCCGAGCTTGTTTCCTTGCAACCATCAAGTCGAGTGTAAATGCCAGATGAAAGATGGATGCGATGTTATTTCATGTGTTGCTAATACACGCTCCAAATCTGCTGCTGGGCGAGATGATTTTTCTGGGAAATCTCGAATTTATATAAAACCAAATGGCTTTCAAAACAAACCGACTAGAGAAAAAAAATAATTTTATAGTTTTTCCCCAACTGCAGCGATAAGACGCGCGGCAAATTTTATTGCTCTAATTTGTTTATCTATTAGACGCGAAGCTGTTGGGACAACAAATTACCCAGCCAGGGTAAACAATCTGCTGGAATCTCTGTAACTTTTTTTATTTCTATTGCCGCGTGCGCCGCCATGGCCGCGTGAGATGTCGCAGCACAAATTTCGTGGAATTCCGCCGAGGTGTAAATTTGGGTTAAATAAAGTCTGCTCGGATTAGGAGCTGCGCGTGTTTGTGGTGCCGCCTTCACTATTGAAAATAAGCCTCAAAATAGCTGCGCTAGAGTTATTTAATGCTTTAATTGCCGGTGTATAAAACAGAGCTGTGTAGAAATAGTTAAAATAAAAAACCCAAAAGAAATCAAATTTTAAGTCTGAAAACAAAATCGAATATAATATTTTGTGAACACCAGAAATTTCGGTTTTCTTTGCTATAATTTTAAAATTTAAAATCAAATTTCTTCGATAAATTTTTTCCTTGGATATAAATTTGAATGAAGGTAGCAAAACACCAATTACAATATCAATTGAGACAAAAACTCTAAAAAAAAAAAAAAAAAAAAAAATGATGAAATTGATTATTCATTTAAAATATGAATAATTTTTTAACTTTGCGCTCTAGGTATATTAGGACCATGAGACCATCACCATTTGATTGATCAGCGTGATAAAATTAGTCTCGATGGATGGAATACTTTGCGTAATTCCTATTTAAAATAACAACATTGAATAAAATTAAATATTTATTTAATAACATTAATTTTTTTAACTTTTCGACGGTGCTAGGTATGAGAATGAGACCATACTATATCAAAATCAATATTCGATCCAGCGTGATGTTATCTATCATTTCCATGGCACATGATTGCATGAGCAGCGCAGAAAAGAGGAAAATGAACTTAAATTTTTATATTTATTAAATTATTTTCAATGAATGAAAGTTATTATTTTCAATTCTAATTTTAGCAGTATTTTCAATGATTTACATTATATTTTGTTCTGCGGGTTGCATAGGCAATTGGGTTGTGGTGA